AGAAACAAGGAAAGGAACGAAAGATTTTATTTAACATTAATTAATGACGCATTTTATTTAACTAATTTTATTCCTTTAATACTATTCAAATTATTATTGCTAAAATTTATATTGTATTTTTATTTTTGAGATTTGAGACAATTTAAATTAGACATTACATTATTTGTAAATTATTAGTATTCTCTTTACAAAGTATAAAATTTAATTAATATATATTATGAAAATAAATGAGTTGAATTTTAAAAATCAATCTAATTCTACTTTTAATAACAAAATAAATAAATGATGAATCTAAATTCAAAAGATAAATTAATTTTTTATTATTATTTCATATAATATTATAAAGAGTGTTTATTAAATCTAATTATTTTTAGTTTATTAAATACTTGAATAAATGATGAATACAGATTATAAATAAACTAATTTTAATATGATAAATAGTTCTAAAAATTAAAGATTTGAGTAATAGTATATTTTTCATTTATTTACATACTTAAAATATAGTGATTGATATATATTACTATATATAAATTATGTAAATACATATATCATTACAATTTTAATATATAAATATATATGTTTATTTTATTATTATTAAACATAAGTTTTGCTTTGCCAGATTTTTATCATCAATTTGATTCTATCAATTTGAACTAATATTCTAATTGTGCAAAAATAGAGACTTTAATTGAAGATCCAAAAGTTGATATAATCACAATTAATGAAAATGCTAAATTTAAAGCATTTTTGATGTTTGGTGAACATGCAAGAGAATTAATAAGTCCTGAAACAGGTAATTAAATTTACGATAAAGAAAGGTCTTCATTTATTAGATTCTATTTGCAATAATAAATATGATGTTAGCAAGTACTAAATTAAAATGGTTTTAAATCTTAATCCATTATCAAGGATGAGAGTAGAAAATGGAGAATATTGTTTAAGATTAAATGAAAATAATGTAGATTTGAATAGAAACTATGATGCTCATTTCAAATAATATACTGATATGGAAATGTAAACAAATTCAGGTCCAGAGCCGTTTTCAGAACCAGAAACTAAAGCAGTCAGAGATCTTTTAAAATCTTATAAACCAAATATGTTTTTATCAATTCACTCTGGAAGTGCAGGATTATTTACACCTCATGCATATTCAATGGAAGAACGTATTTCATTAAATGTATTTTATAGCTTAAAATTATGAAGAATTAATGAAAGTTTTAAATGTAATTAGAGAAGATCATTGTCCAATGTGTGAGACAGGTTTATCAAGTAAAAATGTTGGATATTTGGCATTTGGTAGTGCAATGGATTATGCATATGATGAGATTGGAATAAAAAATTCATATTTGTTCGAAATATATCATAAAGATGTTAATATGATTAATGATCTAAGAGTTGAATCTATTAAAAAATAAAAGAGAAGCTTTTTAGAAATAAAGGATGACAATTTATCTAATTAAGAATGTTTTGATTATTTTAATCCAAAAGAAAAGGAATAATATGATTGGTATACTTAAAATTGGAGTGATGCTATTATCAAAACAATAAGTTTAGTTGAGTCATAATAAAATGAAGAAATAATATTAGCTCATAATTGATATATATTTTAAGAAAAAACTTTAATTTTTTTATATTTAGTTTTTTATAATAAATTTGAATATATATAAATATAATTAGATAGATGAATATCATTATTTTAGTCATTTAATTAAAATTAAGATATAATTACAAATCTTTAAATAAATATAAAAATAAATGATTAATAAAGATAATTTTATTTACTAATGAATTCATATTTAAGCATATAAATTTTCAAATCTTAGAAAAATATATGATCATTAATGTTAATTGAGTTATTATGATTAGAGTTGAGACTAAAATCCATTTAAAATATGTTATTCTAGAATTAGGATATCCATAAAATTATTCTTTTAATGTTTGATTATAGATTGTATATTTAATTTTATTGTTTCCATTAGATCTATTTTTAATCATTTCTTTAACCTTTGTAGAAAAGTGCAAACCTTCATTTTCTTTAATCTCCATATCAAAGATTACATAATTTTTTTTCATCATTTCACAAAGATCTGAATTTTCAATCATATTTGCAAAAGGATCCATTACCTGTCCTAAATATTATTTTCAATTATTACCTATATTCTATTAAAATATTGCATAATTTTAAGATATTCTAACCCAAGCTACTAAAAGCAAGATGTAAAATAAAAGATTAATAAAAGGAAGCAGAATCAAAATTAATAACAAGACAGCCATTCCCAAATAATTCCTTAAATAGTTATGAATGAATTAAACGACTTTACTTTATATCATATATCTTAAAGTTATTCCATTAACTTTATTATCATCTACATTATATACTTTAATAAACTAGACTAATCATTGAATATTTACTTTATTATACAAAGTTATAGGATCTTGATTACTTATTAATATGTTGGATTCATCTCCTTAATCAGTTAATTCTGAATATAATTATTCTGAGTTCTCAATTTTTGTGCTCATTAATATAATAATTTATTTCCACCATATTATATATATTATGTTAATGAATATGTTCAATGTATAATATATTATATATAGAATAAATAATATATCGAAAATATCATATACAAACTAAAATATTATCAATTCCTATAAGTATATATTCATTAATAAACCTATTTATTATCTTATACATAATTAGTTATTATAAACTTATATTATAATTAAATGTATTTATCTGGATATAAAAAATGATTGATTAATATAGAGTTATGAAGATATCTAATCATTTTTAAATATTCTTAAAATATTGGTAAAATATTAAGAATAAATTAATAAAATTTATGAAAATAGATAATATTGAAGACAATTAAATAATATCACTTTTTTGGCAAATTCTTATTGAAACTATGCCTAAAAGAACTTCTATCGATAATGCTATAAAATTATTCTGATTAAGTAATTTTGTTTGGATTATCAATGATTGAATAAAATTACTCTTATGTTATTTATTCTTCTGAATGTTAATTATTTTATTGATTTTAGATATTCTATTAATGATTAATAGAGTATTAATTAATTCCTTAAACTTCTATATTCTCTAGATTATAACATAGTTTTTGTTCTTCTATTATTGGTTATAATTTATTTCTTATATTATGATTATCTAATTAATTTTGATTTTGATTAGAATCTTATTTTTCATCAAATAAATTTAGTAAGGATATGTCTCTAGAATAGCATTCAACTTTGTTGATTGTGTCACCTAGACTTAACTAATATAAAAAAATACTTTGGTATAATACACTTTCTAAATTCTTTTTCAGATTCTGCCCTTCTATATATAGATTCATTTTTAGTAAAAACAGGAGTTGAGGAAGATGAATGTAACGTTAAGGGTTATTTTAATGATTAATCAATAGGTTGTAATTCTAGTGTTAAAATTGGAGGTTCTCTAATTGCAGGTCTAATGATTCCTCCTATTTAAAGTATTTCAATAAGTTTTTATAAGATAAACTCATATGCTAGATTGAATAATACTAAAAGCTTATTTAGACATTAATTCATTAATTAATAAAATTAACTGCAATTTTATATTAACTGCTAAATGTCTGATACTGAAAGTGAATTATTGGAATGTTGCAAATGTGGAGCATAAGTAGATTAAATTTTATCACTTTAATGTGATCACAATTTATGTTTGAATTGTGCAGCTAAGGCTGTAGCAAAGTGGGGTTCATTTACTATGTATCCTCCATTAATATGTTAAATATGTTCATCAAAAACTTAATTGGATCCATCTGCTGTGTAAGTTTTATTAGAGATGAATCCATAATCTTCTTGTTGTTCTGATGATTTTGAATAAAGAAGTGAAATATTAGAAACAAAATAATCTCAACAAATATAGCATACAGATTATCATAATCAATCATAATAATAATAATAATAATAATAATAATAATTTACTAATATCACTTGTTAATAACATCTTACTGAGAGTTGTGTATTATATTGTTTTACTTGTGAAACTTAATGTTTTTGTATGGAATGTTATTTATAAGGATTACATAAAAATCATGAAGTTAGAAATATTTCAAAATCTTTTGATTTAATAAGAGAAAATGGAAATTAACTTTAAGTATCTTTATAAAGTTGTTGTGAATATTTGTTACATGAATAATGTAAAGTTGTAAATAAAAAACAAGATTTAGTAGACTTAGTAGGATAAGCTAAAATGTAGATTACTTCTAATTTTGAAGATATTTACAAAACATTAAGACTCAAAGAATAAGAAATGTTATAAGCTGCTGATGAATTAGTAGCTGATAAACTTATAGAAATAGAAAGTATGATGGCTAAAATTAAATTATAAACAGATAGAGTAAATTAATATAATGAATAACTGGTTTAATATTTTGGATGTACTAATCCAAATATTTCATTATGTGTTGAGGCTTGTAATTTTGTTGTTAAAGAAAAAAAAAAGATTTAGAATTTAATTGAATAAGTTAGACAAGAGAAAATAAGTCCTACTATTCAAGGTAAATTTTGTTTGGATTCTGGATCCATATAATAAATGATAAGTGATATGAGAGGAGTCAAATTATAACTAGTTTCTTTAAGAGGAATTGAATCAATCAATCCTACTTAAAGAGAATAATACATCTATTAAAAAGCCATTGAAGATAAAACTAGAGATTCTATGATTGGAAATAATTAAATATTAAGAGAAGAAAAAGAAAATAATAATTCTATAAGTTTTATTGAACGATCTAGTTAAAAAAAATCTATAAAATCAAATGATAATAGAGACTTTTATACTAAATTTCATGAAGCTAAAAGATCTATTATGAACTAAAAGTCATTTATATGATTAACTTAAAAATACTTATTATTATATCATTTATTATTATTAATATATAAATTGAATTATTTATGTAAGATATTTGATTTGTGTTATTGTTTTTAATATATTATATAAATTATTTTAATTTCTTATGGCTAAATAATAATTAATTCATTCGAAACCACAAGCAATTACTACAAAACTACAGATTCCACATAGGACTACTGTTGAATAAGTGTATCTAAAAAGATTAAAAGAAACTGAAGCCTTCATTCCAAAAGAAGAATACTTGAAAAAATAAGAGGCCATCAATAAAGTTATGGATACATAGTCAGTGTAATAACTTAAATATTATTCACACATTAATGAAATCAGATCAGTCAAAGAATTCTTATATATATCTGAGAAACTCAAATAAAAGAATATAGAGAAAAAAATGAATGAGAGATTGGAATTAAGAGGGAAACTTAACAAAATTAAAGAAATTGAAGTACTTAAAAAATTGCATTATTATTTGGAAAAAAAAATAAGATTATTTATTAAAGATAGATAACATGAAGAAAGTATTAATATATGTGATTATTTAAGATCCAAAATTAAAAACTTTTGAAGCATTTCGGAATGCACATTTAGAAGATAAAAAAGTTATGTAATTTCCAATAGATTTACAGAAAGAATTATTCACAAAATTGAATGCTTAAAGTGATATTGTACCATCAAAATAAGATATTGTCTCACCTGTTTCTCCAATGAAACATTAAAAAAGAAATACTTAGTTTGAGTATTCATATTTAAATTATATTAGTTTTTTTAATGCAGAAATTTCTGATAGTGTTGTTAATAATGAAGATAAAGAATAAGGAACCAGCAAATTTTTAACTATGAAAGTAGCTAATAAATTATTGGGAATGATGATCATTGAATCTAGTAAAGGAAAAAGATAACCGATTATTTGGGCTTAAGATAAAAAGAAAGAATTAGAAGATATATTAAATAAACCATATGGAGGTAAGATGAATTTTAATCTTCATTCTTTTAATTGGCTTATAGACAATGCTTTAGATAAAACATAATCTTTAGCAAATTTCAAAAAGGGATCAATTAATAGAATTACTACTACTGATGAAAGAATTGAATATGGGGAAATGCCAAACAATTATTTATCAATTTAAAATAAAATTAATAAAGGAATGGAATCTATTACAAAAACATTTAATATTAGGCCTAAATCAAGTCAAGTATTAAGATAAAGGAAAGAATTAAAAAATAGAAGATAAATTACAACAGAATATAATATTACAGAGAGAATCAAAGAAAATGTATTATCTTAAGCTTTAAGAAATCAAAATGTATAATCTTAATGTAAAACAGAAGGTATGTTCTTCTAAAATGATTCTTATGTTAGTCATTATATTTGATTAAAATAATTAAATTAATTTTTTTATTTATGGAATCACGAGAATAGATTATTTAAAAAGAAGCATAGATTTAATTACTGACAAAAGTATTTAAGTAGGATCAAATTTGTTTCAAGAAATGCATCAAAGTAGCAGAAAAAAGATTAACTGAAGATTAAGAAAAATGCTTAAGTAAATGCTCAATTAATTTACAAAAGAAATTTGCAACAATAAAGTTTAAGTAGCTTATGATTTTTTGCATAAATTAAACGATAAAGTTTTAGAATGAACCATATATTAGTGTCACAGATAAGTATTTAACAATCTCATAATAATTATATATATTATTAATATAAATTAAATCAAAAATCAAAATGTTTTTTGGTTTACCCTCTCTCTGTAAGAGGTTTATCTGCAGTAAAATTTAATTTTTTATTGAATCTAGGAGTTTAAACTAAATGATATTTTTTTTAAGATTTCAATTCAACTTATGGTTCAGAATCAAGTAATTTCTTTTTCGTTGGAGTAATTTATTAACTCATTGAAGTTGTTGGTTTTGAATTAGTTTAATCTTATATTGTTTATTACGAATTTTAAGATTTATAAGTATATCCATTAAAGGCTTCTTAAATTGAATCTCTTCTCAAAAGTTCAGCATTTAATTTAGCCTAAGCTTCATCTTCAGGTTCTTTAATGTTAGCAAATTTATAATCAAAATTATCGGAATTTGACTGAATTAAATGTTATCATATATTTACATTAATTTTATAAGGAGCTTATTTTTATTATGTTAAATAGGCATCCCAATCAACATTTTTAAACCAAGGATGAGCAAATACTTCATCAGGTCCATAAAATCCTAATCTATTTACTGGTTTTCTTTAAATCATTTGATTAATAAAGTCAGCAGCTTCTTCAGACCAATCCTCTGGTATTTAATTAGGTTTAATTGTAATTTATTTAGACAATATTTAATCTCTAATTTCTTTTCTAGTTTTACCCAAATATGGTCTCTACTTTAAGTTTATACTATTACTTTTCCCATCATACATTCATAAGCTATAACTCCAACAGCAAAATAATCTGATGCTACTCCATGAACTTATCTACACATAACTTCAGGAGCCATATAACCAGGTGTTCCACTTGTATCTCCATCATTTCCTGGTTTCCATATTCTTGCAATACCAAGATCAGTCAATCTCAAATATCCTACTTAGGTAAGTTTTTTATAATTACCATTTCTATCAAATACTAAATTTTCTGGTTTAATATCTCTATGAATAACTGTATTATGATGGAGATACTCTAAGGCTAAAAGTACACAGATAATGAAAAATTCTAGAGAAATAAAATAGTTTCTTTACTTGTCTATTCTTCATTAAACTTCCTATTTTTACAAATATGAAATCTAAGATCTCCTCCAGTCATAAGATCCATTACTAAATAGAGACTTTCTCGATCTTGAAATGCTGTATGCATATTTACTAAAAATCTAGTTAAACAAATTTCATTACGGATGTCTGAGATTGCTTAATAAGTATCTCTCATTCATCACAGAACCAATACTTTTTTTATTAATAATTCTATTATAAGCATTGTAGAAATCAGTACTTGCATTTCTACATTTCTTTGATAGCAAATTGATGTTTAGTTTTCTTATGTTCAGCTCTCCAGACTCTTCCAAATCCACCTCTTCCTATAACATATAAAAAAGTATAATCGCATTTATTTGGCACTATGGTAAAGAGTGCATTTACATTTAATTTCACCTGCATTTAGATCACGAGTATTATTGCAATTGCCCATTAAATAAAAAAATTATATATAAATTTTAATCGAGTTCATAATTCATATTTCGTATAACTTTTTTAATTGATATCTTCTTCTTTGACTATAATTTATTGTTAGAGTTATTGTATATCAAGAATATTTTTGACATATTTTTAAGGACCCAAAAGTGATACCATTTAATGTTTAAGTTTTTCAAGTTTTTCTGCTTCTCTCTTTATATATTCATATGACTTAGCCATATCAAAAGCAGCTCTATAATAGAAATAATATAATATAATTACAATTCAAATTTTTTATAATTTTAGATAAATTATTATTAGAATTCCATTAATTATTTGATCTCTTATTATTCTCCTAATTTAAATATACCAAGATCTAAATATTATAAGTATAATAAATTACTGTTAATAGCTGTTTCAATAGTTTTTTTTAAATCAAATGGTAATATATGATCAACCAAAGTATTAAATATGATATTACATAAATAATCTCTTTTCTCTGAATTCACTCCAAATTCATCATCTAAAGTTTACAATTGCTTTTTTGTTATGTTCTAACTTAGAACTTAGAATTAATTTTAATAACTCAAATTAAAATCTGATATCTATTTATAGTGATTAATATTATTACAAGAGAAGGTATCTTGACACAATGTTTTATGAATATATTTTGTTATTCAAGGTTTTTTTGGAGAACTTCAATTTATTTACTTAATTCAGCTACTTTTATTTCAAGAAGTTCCACATATATTTTCTTACGCTTTCTTGAGTCTCTTGCAGATTGTCTATTCTTTGCCAACTTTATTTTATTGCTATCATCAAAGCCTTGTTCTTCATGATAATATCCATTATCTTTTTCAAACTATTTCTTTGTTTTAAGATAAGTTTTTTATCTATATTGTATATTATTTTATATTACTCTTTTTTAATAGCCAAAGAAGATTCTTGACAAGTTGGAGCAATTTCAATTAAAGAGTTTATTTTATTTACATAAACACTTTTAGAATAGTTCACATTAAATAAGTCTTTGTTATTATTAATGATTGATTCATTATGTTTGTCAAGTGGTCTGCATTTTCTTATTTAATCATAATGAGGAGGAGAGGCTTATTGATGATCTTCTTCTCCAAACATCCATTTGTTTGTCATTTGATCAAGTTCATAAGAGGAATTAATTAATTATATTAAGGAATCTGAAGGAATAATGTCGTAGGTAGCTTTCATTTAAAAATTTAATTGAAATAATATTATTATATACTATGAAGATTGATTTAATGTATTTAATAATGATAATAACGATGATGCAAAGTTCTTAAAAATTGATAAATTTAATCATTTCGCAACATCACAATTATATTACGCAATATAATAAAAAAATTAATAAAAAATTAAAGATTATTCTATATTAATGCAAAATAAAAAGGATTTAAGAAATGAAAAAAGTAATGTAACAAACTCAAATTAGGGTATGATTGGAAATTCAAATTAATATAATTTGATTAAAGTAATTAAATATTTTGTAAATAAAATTTATAATGCTCAAAATCATTGTTCTGATAAATAACTGACTATTGAACTTAATGCAATTGTTAAAGTTGTAATGAAAATAAAAAATACTGAATAAATAAAGAAATAATAATATGCTAAATTTTTAGTCAGTTTGAATCTGAAAATAGATTATAAATTAATACTTTTTAGTAATTACAACAATACATGTCATAATAATATTCATCAATGAAAATATAATGACACAATAAGCAATAGAATTATTCATTCTTGTTATAATCTAATTTAATATATATAATTTTACAATATCAGTTTATGAATCACTCTTTGCATCTCTAAATAGATCAAATGATACTACTCCTGGATATTTTTCAATTGCAGTTAACCTTACTAAAGCTCCACCAAATCCACATAACATATTAAAGACACCACCTGAAAAACATCCTGTCATAGCCATCAATCCATAACCAATTGATGCTAATTTAGTATTAACCAAAAAATCGCATGTAGAATTTCCAAATGCTAAAAATGTCATACCTAAATAAGAATAACTCACTCCTGTAATTGTTTATATTAACTAAAAATAAATTAAAATAATTAGTACTAAAATGAAATCAATCAAAACTTAAATAACTTATTTACACCATATAATAGAACATACAACACATTCCATAGACAATATAATAATAGGAATCTCAAATATTATTTAATAAATAAACAAAAGTAATCCAATTACTTCTAAAATTATCCATACTTTTATTTCATAAATTTCCATTGAAAATGCTATTTAATTTAAATTGACTATATATAATACATCCTAATAATGCTATCATTGCAATAGGACAAACAAGTTAATGTATGGCTGCATATGTTTTATCATATTTTTCTTAATTGCTAACAGGAATAGTGACTTTTCTAACAAATTCTAATGAGGTTATATAAACATATTTAATCTTAGAGATTGTAGTCATTTCTCCAAATGGTTTCTTGAAAGATTCAGGTATTGATTCTGCCAATTCTTTTTTTAATTCTTCATCAACATTCTGAATATCTTAATTACCTTCTTCTCCTTAATCTTTTTTTGCTAATAATTATTTTTCCTCTTATTCTTTTTTTTCTTCTTATGAATTTATTTCATCCTATCTCTATTCTAATAATTAATTATTTAAATTTACTTTTCTTAATACTATTTTCATTTACTAAGACTACAATTATATAAAGTAGATATAAAGAACAAAATCCAATAGCCATGTAATGATTAATTTATCCAATAAATGCAAATATCATCAATAATATAATGGCAACTCCATTAAATAGAATATCTCTCATAAATGGTACTTTCTCTGCCTTAAAATTTTTATCTTAATCAATACTTTCACTACTCCTGATAATAAAATTACTGCACCTACTATTATTGTTGTCATAAATAGACCACTACCAAATATACTCCCAACAGCTATCAATATACCATCATCATCTTATGAAGCTAAAACTGCACATAAAAAGTCTGGTACACCATTTGCAAATGCTATCAATGTTACACTTCATAACTTATTTGTAAATACCCTGCAAAAGTTTATGACATTTTGAAATATTCTGCAATAAAAGTAACTGCAGGTGATAAATAGTCATCTACAGTCCTTGCTAAAAAGTTAAACAATATGAAAAACAAGAAAGGCTATTAATAATTAATTCAATTCATATACAGCTATCAATATCAAT